GTCTTAAACATCCAAATGAAAATTAAAAACTTTCATAGAAACATGTTCAAACTAAACATTAATACAAACATAGATAATTCAAGTGCTAAAGTAATAGCCACAATTCCCATTTTTTTCTCCCAAAAAACAAAGTCAATTCTCCAACACCATTTCGATACCTGATTTTGATCACAGAGTAACATAAGGGAGAGTGGGACTGTGGGAGACTGGACGTCTGGAAGAGGGAGATACGCTCATACACGATTTGATTTTGAGACTATTATTTAGGGCAAATGGGCAAAATGGTTACAAAATTAGCTTTACAGGTTACGACTTACGACCTTAGGCCATCCACCACGAGTCAAAATGTCAAAACAGTCAAATGATCTATGAATCAATGGTATATATTATATAATACTTATTAAATATTAATATTTGATACATAAATACATTTAAAAATAAAATATTTTTTTTATTAAAAGTATAAACGGGTTGGCGGGTCAACCCGTTTATTTTTTGAGAAACTCATATATGACCTGTTTAATAAACGGGTTGGCGGGTTGAAAAACTCAACCTAAACTCATTTATTTCGTGTCGTGTCGCGGTTCATGTCGAGAATTGTCAGGCCTATGAATTTATGTACGGTATGAAAGACCATGGATGGTAGCATGACAATGGAGTCAGGTTTGGGCCCATATACTTCCTAGGGTTGGGTCTGTTATGTATGATATATGTATATGGATAGGCAACGGTAGGAAAGACCATGGTTGGTACCTTGACCATGGAGTCAGGGCTGGGCCTGTCATGTATGTATATGGATAGGAGACCTGATTGTTTGGCTATAAAGTTGAGGATTTGTTTGGATGTATTGTATGTATGGTGGAATATGTGATATATTGGGGAACTCACTAAGCTTTATGCTTACAATTGTGGATAAATTGTTTTGCAGTTTGTACGTGAGAAGAGCTCGGCGGGACTGTACAGACGCATCGAAGATATTGGTTTCCGCTGTTTTGTAATTCAACTATGTTAACCATTGGTTTTCAACAAATGAATATCGTTTAATGATTTTAAAATATAAGGTTTTAATTATTTACTTTATTTTAAATCGAAAAATATCTTTGTAATTTTCGGGATGTTACACCTTGGCTTAGAAGAGGGTACAACCCCTAGACCCCCCCATCGGTCTATTTTCACGCTTATGATCAAACTAGCCACTTATATGCACTATATACATTTTTAACAAGAAATCACACATAGCCTAATTTCCCATCATAAAAAAGATAATATATATGCATTTAGGTGTATAATGATGTTTAATAACGAATACCATCAATAAAAAATTGATGACAATAAGATGTTACAAGAGAATAATGCGAACGAAATCTAAAAGCATCTAACAAAGTTAATAAAGACGGCTGGGAGGCTAAGAAAAATTGAGTCTATATCGAAAAAAATTACATGAAACAAATGAGACCATCTAAAGCAAGGCATGCAAAATTTTCTACAACAAATTTTACATCCTAGCTTATATAGGAGAAAAAAGAGGAAATGACGATAATGGTTAACATTGTCCCGAGAACCTAACTATTTGACCTTCCTAAGTATTGATGTGTGTTTTTATGTATATATTTTAATTGCTCAAGTTTTAAATTTATAAAACTGATTTTATCGCAACTGGACTAATAAACACACTAGGTAGTGTACGTAATCGTGCAATAGTATAGTTGTGGTAAGACCAGGTGTCAATCACAAGGGGAAAGGTGGTGAACTAATTTAGATTTTTTTATTATAGGTTACACTAAACACAAAAAAACAGTAAGAGGGTTTTTATGGAATTAAATCTCAAATAAACAATTAAACAACAAATCTCGATAAATTGACTAAAGACAAATCTCTTTAAGTACTTTTGTTTAGACTTGATTTTATCTCAAAATACTGGCTAACTACTAAGTGCAATGGATATTTATTCATTATTAACCGATTTCTAGTATGACTAGCATCATGATCAGACTGCTAATCCTTTGATTTGAACACAACTATTAATTCAGTGATCAAGTGAACAAAAAATTATGCAAATCAGTATTTAGTTTGTATTAATCAAGATTTGATATTTATTAATCCTAATAATCATATGAATTAATTCATATGGATAACTATGATTCAAATTAACACAATCAGAATGATAATCTGAACTCTATTAATTCATCAATAGGGAAAAAAGTAACAATATTTAACACATATGGATTTTTCAATTAAACTTGACAAAATAAATTAAATAAGAATAAACAATCAAAATAGCAATTAATCCATAATCTCAAAATTCATCAAATCATAAACGCAAAGCAAAGAGTTTTAACACTCAAATCAGAAAGTAAACACATATGGAATCACATTGGAATGCTAATCATGATTAGAACAACAAACCAAATGACTTTTGACATGAATCCGCTCTCTAATCCTTCAGATCTTCGCTCCATATCAGCTTAACGGCCCTCCGGTCGCCTTCTAGACCCTCAAACGGCTTCTCTGAGGTTTATAATCGTAGCGAACGAAGTAGGGTTCAAGATATGTCATTAAGGGTAATTTTCGGCTCTATTTATAGCTTTTAATGTCACCATGACGTGGTTGATAGCCACCACATCGTGGTCTTCATGGATATCTCGTATTATCCAAGTCAGCTCAACGATCGCAGAGTTTTCATTTACCACGTCGTGGTGAGCGGGAATCAGTATTTTATCAAAACACAAAAGTTGTCCGAAATTGTGTCTAGTTTTCAGAACATTTTTAATTTCATCAATCGGAATTACTAGTCATGAGATATGGTCAAAACACTAACGATGGGTCAAGCTGTCCAACAACATCTTTTTTGCGTCTTTTTAACTCCTTTATCCTCCTTTTGCATTCCACCTGTCATTTTAACTGTAATAAAACATTTCAAAGCATATTAAGTATCATATATCTTAAAATATAACATTTTTACTCAAATACATTAGGATAATGACATAAAATATATAATTAAATATGACAATATCAAGTACCTACTCCTTAAAATTCTACAAAAAAACATATTCGATTCAAACTATGGAGTGGATCATAGCAATGTAGATTAATTTTGATACATTTTAATATACCGATAAGCAAAAAGTAAGATTTGTTACCACTTTGCTACTATAAGTTAATGCATTAACAAAAGTTGTTAAAGCTAGTATAGGAATGTAGAGGTAAATGCATTTACATGGTAACAATTCAAAGAATTATTTATGAATGAACAATAATCAACAATTGATAGGAAAAGGATGGAACACCATTTTCTTAAATAACAACAGAAAAAGAATTCGGTACATGAATATGCTACATAATTAATTAAAAATAAAAGGTTTGCAGAATACCAGGTAGAAATAGAAAATCAGAAGAAAATTGTTTTGTTGTCGAATTACAAAATGATATATGATGATAGGCTACTAAACTATTTTAGTATTACTCATATATCAGCGATCCACTTGCTTGGCAAGGTATGTGTGCATTTTCAATTGAAGGGTAAAATTAGAGATGTAGTCGAAGATTATAAATTTAAGACTAAATATGATTGTATAACTTCTTTTCTGGAAAACATGGATTTATCTATATATAACGTTTACAAATTTATGTTTGACCTGTGATTTGTTAGTAGTTGTGTGATCAATTCGCTAGCAAGGAGACTGTTGAAGATATGACATTATTGGCTTATAATCGCGCTCTAAATCTCTTCAAACAAGGTAAAGACATGTATGCATTCAGCAATACTCATTCTTTTCAGAATGGTTACATTTTATTTGTTGATTCTTATTGTTTTGATGTAAAATTTTCAGTAATTTTTGAATGTTGAGTCTAAAGATGATGATGTAGAGGCAGGAATAATTCAATTTTTGTATTTGTAATTTATGTTTTTCTCATGAGAATTTTTAGTTTTCCATTTGTAATTCATGTTCATTCTTACGAGAATTCCAATTTTTCACTTGTAATATATGTTCTTTTTTCTTTTATTTATATGACTATGAGAATGTTATTTGTGTATTTATAATTTATGTTAATTTTCATAAGAATAACACCTTTCCACTTTAATTTTTGTTCATTTTTTATGAAAATGTCAAATTATAGGAAGGTGCATTCTTACGAGAATCAATTCTCTTAAGAATGTTTGTTTTGTTATTGGAGATATGATACATGAAAATATTCCAAAAAATCCGGTCTTCCTTATTTAATTATATATAAAAAGTCCATTTTACCCTTTTAAATAAGTTATAATTAAAAAATATTATTTATTATATTTCTTTTAATTACCATCATGCCATTGATAATCATAACCCTTAAATTTTCTAAATCTAATGGTTAGAATTATGTTATATATTTACATAACTAGTTTTTAACTCGTGAGAACCACGATTACAAAATTAATTAAACTTTCATAGTAAAAATTCATAACTATTAATCAATTATTTTAAATAAAGCATTTTAAATAAATTATTAATTAAGAGATATACCAAACTTTTAAAGTAATTATAGCTTTAAATTTAACATATAATTAGAAAAAGTAAATTTGAATTTTGAAGTTTTTGTCTAATATATCATATAATTAGAAAAAATAAATTTGAATTTTGAAGTGATTTGTCTAATATATCTTCCTGACACGTAGCAATATTAATGAATGTTGTATTAGAGTGACACATAATAAAAGGAGATTAAAATTATTCTTTTATTAGATTAGAGAGAAGAGATGTATGCTATTTACAAATGATCTTAGCCTATATATATATATATATATATATATATATATATATATATATATATAGAGAGGTTCATATATTCTAACTATCCATTATATAGATATAAGAATGATTGTGAGCTAATCATTTCAAAATGGTAATTTTATAATCTAGCATTTAACTAATATTTTTAATTTAATTAATTTGATATTCATCCTAAATTAAATCCTTTATATTAGGCAGGTAATTATGAAAAAAGTAATTCACTTTTTCTAACCCTAAATGTATCCCCTTTATCTATCACCCTTACCATCGGCCGACCATAACACCTCAATCTCTTCAATTCAACTTCAACCCAACTCCGTCCTCCTTCTTCTTCACCGTCGGCCACTTCTGCCTCATTCCTATCACCGTAGCCCCCAATGATGGGTGTAGGAGGAAGCTTGGATACGAGATTTAAATGATCTATGCAAGGCATAGATTGAGTTACTTAGGGTGTCGAGGCCCAAAAACAGCTTCAGGCACCGACACCCTCAAATCTGAAACTCTCATTGTCGTCTCAATGTCACCCCTCGCCACCGGTCGCCTCCCATCGCAGCCTCCACCTCCGATAATCGTCATTCGTCCACAGTCAACACTCGACACAGTGTCCCTTAGGGCTCAGTCCTCACATAATCAGATGACCATCCACTACAGACGGCTACCGCATGCTGCTTCCTATCTTAGCCTTCGCCTTCTGTCTGTGCCACTGACGACTTCCTTATTAAGGTTATTTCTTCTTTGTTTTAGTTCTAACGAAACAGTGAGTTGTGACATTTTCAATTTCTTTTCATCGGATGTTTTCTATAAGCCTATGCTATTCTGAATTTTCGATTTCCAATTTCTTTTCAAACGACTATGCTTTTGACTTTTGATTTCTGATGTTTGATATTTTCTATGATATTGCCTGTGATTTCATTTTTGAAGTGTTTGCTGTAATTTTTTTTTTAACTAGAATATGCTTCTAATTTCTTTTCTGATTTCTAATCTCTGCTAATCGATATGATATTGATATGTTTTAATTTTTGATGTGGCATTTGCTATGAATGTATGTTTGATTACAAGGTGCTCAAAATTTGTGGGAGTGATGTTCAACCCTTGAAGGTAAACTGCCCTTCTAACTTATAAATCCTATCACAAAAAGATGCTTAATTTAGTTTATTGAGGTGAAATATGAGGGAATGCAACTGTTAAAACATGTCTTATTGGATTTGGATACATTTTTCTTTTGCCACTGAAATCCATGATAGAGGATGGAATCACAATTTCGTTTCATTCATTTGGGAATCACAGTTTTTTCCCATTTGATGTCAACTCTCTAGCTCTCTCAATTGGTGATTTAATCATTTATTAAATACACGTAAACCATTTCTTTTAGTTTTTCTTATTTATTTGTTTCCTACGCAATATGCAAAAGGCGAGAAGCAGGGGTATTTTATTTCTAGTATATTGTTTGGGCTAATTCATTTTTTATCTCCCATTTGTTGTCTTTTTCTCCTAATTGCTCAGTGTCACATATGGCAAAGCACCAGGTGATTACACGACTCAATAACTTGGTTCATCTTTAACTGTTTGAAGCTAAAATGTCATTTGGTAATCTTATGGTTTTTGTTGGTTGAAATGAAAGAAGATGATTATTTGATTTTACTTTTTTTTTCTGTAATATATAAAAAGGGTTAGTTGACATTAGCACAATGCTTGAAGAAGCTGTCCATTATGTGAAGTTCTTGTACCTTCAAATTAAGGTATATACACAGTTGTTAAGCTATGATAAACCATACTTCACTTTTTCCATATTAATTTACAGACACAGTGATCGAGGTGACTAATTTTTTCCTAACTTTATACAGTTGCTAAGCTCAGATGACATGTGGGTTTAGGTTTTGAAGAGGAAAAGAAAGAAAACATGGAGGGACGATAGTATATTCTAGTAGAATGTATTCATACAGAATGTCATTGACATTGTATTAGAATGGATTAACAACAATATTCTCTCAGAATGTATTAGTATTTTACCTTGATTTCAATATATCATTCTAAGAATGTAATATAAAAAATTGAACTTGTATCCAAATTTTTGTTATTTTTCAAGAAACTCAATAAATCAATATATATATATATATATATATATATATTATATATATATATAAAGAATTTTTGGATTTTTCTATTTATTTTGCATTTTAAAATTATTTTTAGAATATGTACAGTGTAATATTCTATTAGAATATTTCACGTATTTTTCAAAAAAAATGGAATTTTTTTTTACTTTTTTTAGTTAATTCAAGTTCGAAAATAATATTTAAAAAAGAATTTTTTATTTTTTCCATTTATTTTGTATTTTAAAATTATTTTTTAGAATATGTCAGTATAATATTCTATTAGAATATTTCATGTATTTTTCAAAAAAAACGAGATTTTTTTTATTTTTTTTTAGTTAATTCAAGTTTCGAAAATAATATTTAAAAAAAGAATTTTTGGATTTTTCCATTTATTTTGCATTTTAAAATTATTTTTAGATTTGGTCTCACAGTTTCACAAAATTAGAATGATCTCAATGAATATATATATATATATATATATATTATATATATATATATATATATATCTATATATATATATTCTATATATATATAATATATATATAGTATAGGTTCAGGTTCTTTGAGATCATTCTAATTTTGTGAAACTGTGAGACCAAATCTAAAAATAATTTTAAAATGCAAAATAAATGGAAAAATCCAAAAATTCTGTCAGAATGACCCTATATATATATAGATTAATATATATCTATATATATATATATATATATATATTCTGTTAGAATGTGTATTTTTTTATGGTTCAAGCATATTTGTTATTTTTCAATATATTGATAAATATATTCTGTCAGAATATCCGAGAATTATCATCTATACAATCAGATTTTTAAAATTAATAGAATCTATTATCCCTTAAAATATGCAATTTTCCTTTTTTTAAATTTATGTTATTAACTAAAATACCCTTAAAAGAAATTAAATGGTTTTTTTCGAATTATCTTTAATTAATATGTATTATTCACTTTCTTAAAATAAATTATGATTGGCTTACAATCATTCTCCAATCACACAATAATTAGTTAGAATAGAATAATTTAAGCATATATATATATATAATAATATATATATATATATATATATATATATAATATATATATTATATTATATATATAATATATATATAGTATATTATATATATCGGGAAAAGTGAATATATGACTGTCATGTATGTAATATTAGGTATAAAACCATCAAAATTAACTTCATTTTGATTAAAAAACACAAGTTTTTTCATCGTTAGCTTCTTCCTATTGCTTTTGAGCTTATATTATTTCTTATTTAGTAATTTATCCCAAATTTATGTATTTCGAATGTGTTGTTTATATTAGACCTCTAGTAGGCTTCATAACTTTCTTTGACACCTATCATATGTACACTTGCATGGTTCTTTTTGATGTGTTTTGGGAAAGAGTTTATTGAGTTTTTAATGAACAATTTCAACTTTTCACTATAGTTTTCTATATTAAATTTGAATATGAAGGCTTATAGGTAGTTGATAATGTATTCTTATACATGGTTTGTGGTGCAAAATTAAATATTTAAAACTCCAAAAAAATATCTACAAATCCTATCATCTAGTCTAATAGAGGATACAAAAAAGATGGTAGAGAGATAGATAGAGAACCATAATTAGTTCTTCAAGGAAACAAATCTTTTTTTCAATTTCTAGAGCTTATTCTTTATCGAAAAAAATCTAAAAATATCTAAATTTCATATATTACATTGTGAATGTGAAAATATTTTCGGATTCACCGTGTGAATCCGGATTCACATTGTGAATTTGACGTAAAAAAAATCGAATTTGATATCATTGGAAAAAGGATAAAAAGTTATGAATTTCTGTATTTTTAGTTTTTTTGATAAAAAATAAGTTGTAAAAGTTGAAAAAAAGATTGGTTCCTTGGTTCCTTGGTTAATTATGGTTCTCCATTGAACCTCACTATATATATATATATATATATATATATATATATGTATACGTCATAATGACTACTATTTATCTCTAAAAGTCAAAGTTATTATGCAACAAAATTAAATTTTCAATCGGTTTGGGTTGAAGAGAGAGATGAACTTGAAATTCTCTTATTCCTTTTCCTTGGTCCAAATCTAATTTCAACGTGGCATGTCCAAACTCTGTCAAGTGTCATCACTCCCATCATTTCACTAATTAAATGCCTATAAAAATGATGCAAACAAGGACAAAGGTTAGACCATAACACTAAACTCAAAAATCACATATTCTTTCCCCTGTGCATCATCAGCCTGCCATGCTATCCTTCTCCACCACCACCATCACTAGTAGAATGATCATAACGACACTCCTTCTTTTTCTCTTCACCCCTACCCTCGTGAGTTCAGAATGCGAATTACTCAAATACGACACAAACCTTTTAGAATTCCCTTTAAATTTAGAGTATTTTGAAGCTGAATACTTTTTGTATGGATCCATGGGTAAAGGCTTGGATAGCGTAGAACCGAATATCGCAGCAGGCGGCCCACCACCTGTCGGTGCAAAGCAGGCGAATCTTAGTCCGGTTATTAAAGATATAATCACTCAATTCGCGTATCAAGAAATTGGCCACCTAAGGTTTGTTAATTATATATCTTCTTTTACATGGTATACACATGCATGCATTCTAATATTTTGATTATGCGTGTTCTTTTTTTTTTTTTTTTTATTGATATTGATTATTGGTTTTATAAATTTAGGGCAATCAAGAAGGTGGTAGAAGGATTTGCAAGACCACTCTTGAATCTAAGTTCAGAGTCGTTTGCAACCGTTATAAATGATGCATTTGGAAAACCTTTATCTCCCCCGTTTGATCCATATGCGAATGACATCAATTATCTTATTTCGTGTTATGTGATCCCTTATGTTGGTCTTACCGGATATGTTGGAACAAATCCAAAGCTTCAAAGCCCAGTTTCTCGAAAGGTATTAATCTTTCCATTTCAAGAAATATGTTATTTAATATAAATACATGTAAACTTAAGAAAGAAAAATAATTTTGTCAAGCTATGTTTCTAAAACAAATCACAACAATAGTTTCTATAAATCTATATTTATATTATAAACTTTATAAAAGATGTTTCGATGTGAAAAAATGAGTTCCTGGCAGCCCACATCGGTTCCCCACTATAAGTCATAACGTTATATAATTTTTTTATTTAATATTTTTTTAAGCATTTTTATTGTTGTTTAATTTATGTACCTATTTACTTGGTCATTTTTGAAATTCGATCAAGATTGTTTTTTCTTACCCGAATCATTGTTTTCGAGCTAATATTACTTCAGTTGTATACAAATTTGAGTTAAATATATTTTCACTATTATATTCAATTATTGTAATTGTAATTCTTAATTAGCTCAAGTAAGAACTAAACGATCAAGTAGGATTTGAGGCAACCAAATTTTGTTATAGTATTTATGTTTTGATAATATAACGTAAAATTATTCCATACAAATTAGAAAAATCAGGAAATGCTGCCGATAAATTGATTAACCTAAAATTTTAAGTGATTGATTTTGAATCATCATGCTTTTATTTGGTGCACATAACCCGTTACGTACTCGTGTAAAAAAAATATTTTGCAATAAATAACGGCTTTCCTGCATTCATATTTTTTACAACTTGTTTTAACATATCATTAATTCATATAGAAACTATAGAATTTTTCTTTTGACATTCTTATACAAAAAAAGGTGGTTATTTTGCAATGAAAATTATTAATGGTTCGTGACTATTTCCTTTTTTTATGTATGTCTCCTGAATCCTAAAGAATGTGTATTGATAATCATGAAAACGATGATCAGCTTGTAGCAGGATTACTGGGAGTAGAATCAGGTCAAGATGCTGTCATCAGAAGCCTTCTTTATGAACGGGCGAAGGAAAAAGTAGTTCCATATGGAATGTCTGTATCTGAGTTCACAGATAAAATCTCACAACTACGAAACAAACTAGGTAACAATGGCCTAAAAGACGAAGGCCTCAAAGTGTCAACTGATATTGGGGCAGAAAAGAAGATACAAGGGAACATACTTGCAGGTGATAAAGATTCATTGGCATATGATCGATCTCCACGAGAAATACTAAGAATAGTGTATGGAACCGGAAAAGAACAAGTCCCAGGCGGGTTTTACCCTAATGGTGGTAATGGAGCACTTGCTAAAAGATACTTGAAGAGTGGAAAGAAATAGATTAATGACTTTTGGTATATCATTTGTAATAGAGGCTTCACCTTTTTTTTTTATTTCAATAAACATTGAGATGTTTTAAACACCACGACTATCTTTGCTTTGATCCTTAGATGAGTTAGATCATTAGCCTATGCTATATTTGTGTGGTTTGCGGAAAATTTTACACCATTTTCATCTCTCCATGCATGTATCTATGATCTATCGTCATCAACTCAACTCCTAATTGCAAATTAATTTAAGGTTTAACAGAAGATCGGTAATTAAAATCAACATTTTGTAAGATCAAAATAATTAAAATGCCTTGATGTATAGATAAATGTAAATGACAACAATACTACAATAACGTGTTAGTTTGAATTAGAACTTTTCATCGGCAAAAACTCAAAATTACTTAGTTAAGACGTTTGAAGTCGAAATTCCAATCAATGAATCGAACACTTCTATATGCTGAATAATTTTATTAGTCTTTGTCAATACGTATGAGTGATATTTAAAACAATTATATAATGTTTAAATATTTGTTAAGATTGGTCATAATCAAAGAAGTTGTGGATGAAGGAACATACTTGGTTTTAGGGAAATGGAACATAATTGTGATCAAACCTTACTTGGTCATAACAAATGAATCTAAAATCGTTGCAAAATAATGATACAGAATTTAATAGAATCTAAAAAATTCTAATTTTCAATCAAACTTAAATTTTACCTTACATTCCTCCAAATTTCTTTGGAAATCAAACACATTTTCATTTACAATTGATTCGATAAATATGACTGACTCATTAGTCATTGTCCTACTTTAAATTTTTCCAAATTCATTACATATCAAACACACTTTCATTTACAATTGATTCGATAAACATGGCTGACTTGTATCCTACTTTAAATTCCTCCAAATTCATTGGAAATCAAACACATTTTCATTTACAATTGATTCGATAAACATGGCTCTGACTCGTTATCATACTTTAAATTTCTCCAAATTCATTGGAAATCAACCACACTTTCATTTACAATTGATTTGATTAACACTTTCATTTACAATATATGATAATAATAAGTACTCGTAAAGTATAATAATCTTGGCCCAAGCCCAAAAAATAAACTGGGTGAAATTGGGGTGTTTATTTTTACCATTTTCGGCTTGGGTGGTCCAACTTCAAACGGGTCATATTCGCCCAAAACAGTCCGATACATTCGTTTCCGGTGCTGAATTTACAGCATTTACGTTCGATCATCGTCTTCTTCGCTCAAGTCCCTACCGTGCAATCAAGTACATCCTTGCTCAAGGTATCATATTTGGCTGCTCTTCCCTGTGTGATTAAACAGCTGAAATAATATTCGGCACACTGTGTTGAGTCATTCTCTTGTCCTTCTCGTTTGATTTCTTCAGTTTTAGGTTTAGGGTTCCGTTGTTTATACTGATTTGTAGGACTTAAAATAGGATATGAAACATCATAATGGTTACTCTTTTAACTTTCTCGATTTGTAGTTTAGGGTTTCTTGGTGTATGCTGATTGGCAAGAGTTGAAATAAGATCTGGAACACTGAATTTATATCTGTTCCACTTCCCCATTGTTCTTCAAATTTACCCGATCAATTGAGTTATATTATTATTATTATTCCATTTATACGAATATGAGATATACTCAAAGTGCATCACACTCTTGTTGTTCTTCAATAGGATAAAAGTGTTAGTGACCCAATACCCAATTCAATAAGAAATTAACAATTCACAATTTAGAAATTATGGTGAAAAATCTGGAGTATAACTTAATTCTTGTCTTAAAGAGAAAGAATGACGAGGCAATAAAACAAATTCTTTCTCTTTAATAGTGTAAGTAAAATATTGGGCATGAGGTAAAACTAAACATAGATCAAGATCAAGTGATTGTTTGGTAAAAACGAGGGGGGTTGTATTCACACACTCATAGATGTTAACTGAAGTATGAGTGTCCTTACCTTGTTAGTATCTTTGAATCTTTGTATCCACATATCACACAATTTTATTATTTGGCAAAATTTGAAACTTAAATTACTTATTCGCTCATTGTCATAAACACTAATCACATATTGTGCTTGTTCTTAACTTATAGTTGTTTAGGGGATCACGTAAATGTTTATTTATTTTGGGATTTAAATCACTTCTAATCAATTTCACTATTTATATATATTCCACATCAATACTAATTACTAAGGGGTTGTTTGGATTAAAGAAAACTGAGTTTTGGCTGTAATGTATGTCTGATTTATATATTATTATTCTTTTTGTCATAAAAATTACAAAAGGTGGAGGCTATGGCTGGCCATGATGATTCTGGAAAGAAATCAAATGAAAATGAGATACCAACTTTTAATGTGGAAAATATGCAAAGCAACATGAAAGTCATATACTACAGGTCAGTTTTCACACTTAGATTGATTATTTGCAATTTAGATTACTTAATTTTGTGATGCTTTTTATCTTACCTAGTGTTTAAATGTCCACAAATCAATAATCTACCCTGAGCTGAGTTATTACTTAGTGATTTGAATGTAAATCTTCATATCACTTAATTTGGTAATTTCTTGAAATAATTGCTTCACGATAACTTTATTGATTGGTCCCCTGTCCAAAAAAAAAAAAAAAAACGAAAACAGAAAAGTTGATTGCTTTTTGTTTGAAAATTATGTTAGTGGTTGGTATGCAGTAATGAGAGAGGGAATGGAATGTGATTCCTTCTCCTAGGCTGATTTGTATGGTGTTTATTTTCATTTATGCATGAGATGGAATGATATATTTTAATTATAAATTATGTGAATTTCAATAATCTCTAATAATGCTAATCTTTTTAAGAAAATTAGAAACTTCAGTTAAATTATTTTTTTATTTTCCAAAAACAACTAAAATTAATTTGTATTATAGTTATATTTCAAGAATTTATAGTGTTTATTTATTTTTATTTTTTTTTAATTTTGCCAACTCTTTTTTTAGATGATTAATGTTTCTTTTTTTAACTATTTGAATAATGTACGGTATAACATATTTCAAACGAAATGAAATATGCTTATATGCACTTTATTTAACGATATACCTTTATATTATTGAAATCTATTTTTTTTTTAAAACAACATATTTATCAATTTAGTTTTCATATATGTTTCTATTCATACGTAAAAAACCAACATGTTTGAATGATTCATTCCATTCCTTCGACTCAGCCAAACATGACAATGGAATGTAATGGTCCATTCCATTACCATACTTAATCCATTCCTTAGTGATTCCAAACAGACCCTAAGGTTGTGCTTGGTTCTTGGTATTTCAAGATTCCATTCCACGGCTTGTTTGGCTGCAAAGAAGAGGACGGAATTGAATTCTGGATACTTCAAATGAAGGAATTTGTTGTTTCTTGGATTAATGGATCTTGCACATAAATAGCAACATATTTTCATTGATTTGTTTATTATAGCATCCAACTGTTATTTCTTCCTATTGCATCATTGTACTTTAAAATATCTACCTAATTGTAACAATTTCATCCATATACAAAGCAATTTTCGTTTGTAAATCTTTCAAAGTCTAATGTCCTAATAAGAAACAAATTGAAATACAATGCTATATTTCGGTATCTTTCATCAAAGTACAATGCCTTAATAAGAAAAAAGTTGCAAGAAGTACAATCCTATAATAGAAAGAAACAAAAGTAGGATTTTGTAATACACAAATAACTTAAACTCCGTTGCTATTCTTACATTTTACTCTAGATATAAATACACCTACAATTTGGTATATACATCACAAGATTGCTTACTTTAGTGTGTTATATAAATAAACTATTGAGATTTTATTTTTTATTTTTTATTTTTTATATAGTTTTGGTTAATGAATTTATGATTTATGAAATGATGCAGTCGGACGTTCATGTCAATCATTGGTGGAGTGATTGCTGGAATTTTGGGATTCACAGGCCTCATGGGATTTGTCATCTATTTACTTGTCATGGCAATAACCTCCCTTTGTCTAATAGCCAAGGCTGGTTTCTCTATCCACTCATATTTTGACACCTGGAATCGGGTCCTTCTTGACGGCTTTCTAGGCGGCCTTTTGGTAATTTTCTCATATCCTTCTTTGTTACATAGGACTACCGGACAAGCTTTCTAGGGCTATTTTTCATGATCAGGGTGTCGAGGGCATTTATGTCTTTTTCACATACGAGATTTCGATGGTGATAGGAAATCTCTGTCCCATCTTTTTTGAGTGGGACAAAAGTTTGCAGTTTTTGTCACACTGTCATCAGTCCAATCTGTTTTGTCATGTCATGTCATGTCTACAATCAGATAGATTGTATATTAACCAACAAATAATCTCTTTTTGCAGTCTTTCGTGCTGTTCTGGACGTATCCTTTTAAATAAGCTTTCTTTATTATTATTGTATTGCATACTCTCCATAAATTTTTTTTTTGAACTATATGCTAAGTAAGAAGATAATATATGTTTTTTATTTTGATAAATATAATTGTATTTTGTGAAAAGGCATCAATCATGCAACAATTGTTTTAAAATTTTGACCTAATGTTGGGCATGACTTAATAATCTAATGAGCTAGTATATGAGTGTTTCCTTTTTATTTAAGTCCTAACTTTTTACAAATTTGATTTTATCTTTTTTTTTTTTCCTTTAAATGCGTCGAAGACTCATTTTCCCAAATACTTTTAAATATCGTCTATATCATTATAAAAATACATATAATGAGAAAAAAGGAACAACTCGTTTTTTGTCGAAATTTGTAGATAATGATCCAATTTTTTTTTTATTTTTTTATATCAAATCAAGCTAGGAGGTTGTAAAACATTTGGAATATATTTTGGATAACTTTGGAAGTGTTTGACCTGTTTCTTTTTAGCATTCTTGTATATGTTTTTTTTTAAAACCATCTATGATTACCTTGACATGAGAAAAGATTTGCTTATGATATCGTGCATATCTTTTAAATAATTCTGACTGGAATACACAAAGCAAGTTTGGTTAGTGGTGATGTTGCTTGACAAATGAAGTTACAAAAAGAAGGGGATTGAAGGTTTACGATGTATTTCAATTTTTGGATATTTTAATGAAAGTTTATATATGTTTTTAGGACCAAGATGTGATTTTGAAGAGGGATATGATAAGGTTTTTAGCAGTTTTGTATACTTATGCATTTTGTTTTCCTGTGACAAAATGTACATGTTGGGTGACTGGTCTAGCAAACATTTTGTGTTTTTATTATAACAAAAATACAGGATGGATCCATGTGGTTTGGTTTCCCAAAATAGGCGTAGCACTTGGTCTTTGTGGTTTCAAAAACTTGGCTACCTTCATCTCGGGTAGGCCAACTGGCTTACATGGCTTGTCACGTTAGCTGAATGATGCTAAATGCTTACGTGGCTTGCCACATGGACACCGATCTTTTATCTCACATTGACCATTTTACCTTCTCCCTTGTCGATCTCGTTCCCACTTTCTTTAACACCTGCAATGCAAACAAATCTCTCTCATTCTCCCTCATTTAGCCACCGTATCAACTGTGATTTGAAGAAGAGTTCTTCAAAACTCAACTCTAGACACAGACGCCTCCTCACCTTGAATTTTTACATGAGTTCAAAAAGGGATTCAAAGCGAAAACTAGGGTTTTCTGAATCTGAGGTAAACACTCAACTTTGTGTTTGATTTTGTGTTTGTAAACAATAATATTTAAAACAAAACACTTAATTTATCTAGACATCATATATATAAACTAAGTGTAAAGCTTCAAAAAAAAAAAAAAAAAAAATCTAAGCCCTAAGAACCTCAATAAAAAAAGCATTCTAAACCATAAACTTTCATCATTTTTTCTAAATTGTGTAGCATCTTCTTCCTCTCAAATCATTCATTAAGAACCTACACCAGATTCATCAACTCAACAACGATATGTGGATCATTAACAATGCATTGACTGAGATTACATTTTGATATAATCCAGACTGAGAGAGAAACTAACTAACATGAGATATATCCGTATATGTTTTTATTTTATCCTGGTCCTTCCACATATCATGTTTGACTGCTAACATGAGGTAGTTGTTGAGCAAAATTCTTGTCATTTTTTGTTAATAATGATGATAGTAGATTAATTTTTTTTATTTTTTTTTTAACTTCTAGTGAAATTAACCTTTATTTGATTGATTATATAGAGTAGTTGATACCACATTGATTATTTATAGGCAAGTGGTCGTGATTCAAGGCAATATATAATTGATAGGTTATTTGATACGACTTTTATTAGTCCTTTAGATGGACTTTCAACAAGCCAAACATGATTTTTGAAGAGCACAACACATAGCTTGTGTTGCATATTGGGGAGGAGATTCAAAAGGTGGAAGAAAGAGAGCCGGTTCTTCGTGTTAACAAATTTGTTGGCGGAGGTGATGGTGGTGGCAGATTGGTGGCGGAAGAGATGTCAGAAGGGTGGAGGTGACGGTGGCGATTGGTGGTAGAAGATATGTTTTATGTGTATGTTTGATTTTAAATTATATGTTTTATTTTTATTATCATACATACTTATAAAGCTAGCATTTTTCTTGAATCTCATGCATTTGAAACCCACATAAAAATTTGCTAACACCTCATGCATTTGAAACCCCCACACACTTTCACCTTCAAAGTAATTAATACACATAATCTCATTCCAAGAAAATCACACACTCTATAAGTTCAACACCCCATATATATATCTTATAATAGATGCATTTTTCTAAGCACTACATTGATTTGAAACTTATGTCTTTTCATATTTCTTTGTAATAATGATTTTTAATTACCATTTAAGAGTTTTATACTTAATGGTACTTATGACACTAATTAATTAATCTTTGTATATAGATAGTTCACATTGGTAGATTATTTTGGTAGAATTTATAATTTTTTTGGTGATTGTATGGTAGATTGGAAGCTTCAAACAAAATGATTTATGTGAATAAAAACAAATTTTTTTTCAAGGTCTATTTTTATATTATGCATGTTCGTCTTTAAAACAAAAACATTGATTTGTTTTATTTAACGTTTTAACATGATTTTTCTTTTACAGGTAATATTGTCTTATATATGAAAAAAGTAAGAGGAAGATGATTTTCTTCATTGTATGACAACTAACCGATGATGAACAAATCCGAGCACAATAACTGAAGACTATTTCATTATGTTTGGAAAATAATTTAAGATGAATTTCTTTCTCTTTTCCAAAAAGATCAAGACAAGAAGCACATAGGTAAAGGAAGACTTCGTGAAGATGGGTTTATCTAAGTTAATTGGCGACTAAAATTTTGTGTTTGTGTTTTGTTGTGTGTGTATATAATATATATATATATATAGATATAATATATATATCTATATCTATAATAATCTAAAACATTTGTAACATCACATTATACTCCTTTTTACTATTATTTTGAGCTATTATAATTATATATAAGATTAGACTTATACCTGTTTATTATTTAAATATTTACACATTCAAGTTTTTAACATATGGTTATTAATATGTAATGTCTTTTTTATTTTCCCTTATTTATACACATTATAACTATATTAGTAGTATCGAGTAAGTTGTGTAGAAAATCATGTCTTTGAGGAGATTTGTGATTTTAAAATATAAAGTGTCGAAAAAAGAGTTTTTATCGTATCAATGGTTATTACAACACACGATTTTGTTTAGGGATAATAATGTTTATGTATACCAAATGTATGTTGATTTCTACATATTTTTGTTGATGTTATAAGGGTTTAATAAGTTTTGTTGATATAAATGTTATAGTAGATGTTTGTAGAGATTTTATATAAATTAAAAGTTGTAGTTTTTTTTCCATACTATTGTTATTCGTTATATTAGATATAGCATGCATTTTTATACAATCTACACAACTTAATACGTTTGATATAAAATTTACACAACTTAAAACGGTTTATAAAATTATCAATTTATAGTAGAAATAATCAATGACATAAAACCATGGTTGTTCATAAAACGAACAGGGTAACTATATGTTTTGTTGTGCTACTAACATTGGTTTTTCATATATAAATAATAAATTAAAGTTTGTTAAAAGTTATTATTTTAATTAAATAATTAAATGCTCGCACAATGCACGGGGATTCGCTTAGTTTTAATATATACATGTCATATTTGCATTGAGAGAGAGATTTCCAACTCAACAAATCTCTTATTATCAGTAATAATAATAATGTTTTTTATAAAGTTTAAAAACTTTAATAATATAATATACAAAAAAATAATATTTTATGATATTTATGAACAAAATGAAAATTGTTACATTCCTAAATTTTGTTCTCTAGCTTTCACAAACAAAACTAATGTAATTCTTTACATGTCATCCTAAAAATAAAATGTGGAAACAAATACATCATCTATAATAATACACTATTCTGTCGACGTCCACTAATTTTTGTTAAAAACCCTAATGTTTTCGTTAAATCGTTAACGAAGAAATAAACATGTTCATATCTTTAAATAACACAAGCCTTCTTCCCTGCCGACAAAAACAAAAAAATATGTCAGTAGAAATAATAATAAAAAGCCATCAAATAGAAAAATACAAAACAAAAATAATTCGTTTAAAACTTAAATAAATAAAGCAAAATGGAAAGAACGCGTGATTAAGTCAATGACGCGTTGCGTTAGTGAAGGACTATCGATTCATTGCTAACGTGGGATGTCGAATTACCATACAACCCAAATTGGCTTTCGGTATCCAAAGGGCAAAACTGTAAAATCTCATATTCCTTACATAGAAGTGTTTTTTAAGCTTTTTTTAACCCAAATTTCATTTTGTATATGAGATTTTTGTATTACAAAGGTACTTTTAATTTTGCAATTGCTTTGATTCTTTGTAAAATAAAATTTACAAAAACGGTCCATATACTAAGCACGAATTCGAATTTAGTCCCTCATTTTTCAAAATTTCATTTTTACTGATTTCTTCATCAAAAACATTTTTAATTGTATCAAACGTTAAAAGTCAAAAACAAACCCTCAATACTTTATTCGATGAGATCTATCCACCCAATAGTTCTTCACACTTTCAAATACTTCCTATTAAATCCAAAAACTTCCATTTTTCTAAATATTCTTAAACACTTTATCCAAACATGTGTAGATGTGAAAATATAAAAATCGCAACAAAATTAGATCGAGAATAATAATACAAATATGATGAACAAAGAAAGTCATTGCTAAAATGTGAGAAAAAACACTAAACATTATCCAACGATACACATCAAGGAAAACATAGGAGTGTCCTAAATCATCTAAAAGTTACATAAAATTAAACATAAAAAAAAGTAGCAAACTTTTCTTTTGTTTTTTTGTTCCTAAAAATAACCCCATTGTGACACTATGCAAACCCTGATAGATATAACTGCACCATGGAAAAGTTACATGAAAATATATGGTAGTAAACAAGATGATCCACCAACCATAATATAAAGTTTTTAACATAAACCCTAGAGAGATAGAGAGAGAAAGAGATGGACCTATGTATCCATGATCATCATCATCATAGATCCCAAGAAACCAAACTATCTCTTGGATGGTCTATCATCATCATCATCGTCATCACCATCATCATCATCATCAGATTCATCATCATCTTTGGTTGACCTTTTCCGCTTAGGTGGGGCTTCTGTTTTTCCACCTTGTTCGTCGTCATCTTCTTCTTCTTCTTCAAATTCATCTTCTTCCGCTCCATTTTCTTCGGGTTCAAAATCACTTGCATCTTCTTCATCTTCCGGGTTAGCCACGGGTCGAACCAAGTATTCGGTCCCCATATCCTCCTGTAAACCAGGTTGAATAATTTGTGTGAGTTGCATAAACTACTGTTAAATTGGTAAAAATATAAAATTTACACAAATATCTAAATATCGATAACATAAAAGTGGACATGTACAATTTGATAAGTTTCATGCCAAAAACCTGTAAGAAACAGAACCCCAAAACAGAAACACATATTGGGAATTATATTGTTTGCTACATGAACGGAATCATTACAGATCAATCATGACGTAAACAGTCAGAGTAAAAAAACTGAAACAGTCAAAATCACAAACGGTTTTGACAGAAAATAATCAGATCTGAAATTTTATAACAGAAAACAAAGCAAATTTAAAACAAGATTGCTTGAAATGAAGCATAAATGCAAATTTAGATAATATTTAAAGAACGTCAGTAAAATAATATCAATATGAACAGATCTATCACTGGCAAAAAAAAACATGGATCTGTGTAAGTTTTGGAAGATAAATTGATAAAAACCACAAGAGACATAGAGATAAAGTGAGGTTTTTGACTCGTAGTAACAACTGACAGAGAGAATAATTAAACTCGAATGATAAAAATTAAAAAAGGTAATTTGTCTATACGCTAGATTGCAGATACAGGCAAATAATCATCAGATCTGAGCTAAAATTTTCACAGAATTATCAACTAAGATATGATTTACTCAAAGTAATAAGTTAACTAATTCAAACAAAATAGTCAAAGTGAAGATAAATATTACCTCCTCTTGTTCACCTTCCTCATCGTCGTCGTCGTCGTCGCTATCTTCTCCGTCGTCATCATCGTCGTCGTCTCCATCATCGTCTTCATCCTCTTCGTCCTCGTCCTCGTCGTCATCGTCGGCTTCTACCGGCTGAGCCGGTGGACCACTACCAGAGCTTTGGAAAACCTCCTGCACATCATCGTCGTCGTCTTCTTCCTCCTCCTCTTCGTCGGCGTCATCATCATCTTCGTCGTCGTCTTCGCCGTCGTCTTCTTCAACTTCAACTTCACTATCAATTTCTTCGGTGTCATCCACAACGATTTCTTCAACCTTGTTCTCACCTTCGAACTCCAACTCTTCTTCGATCAACATCTTCATCTTTGCCGAAAATTCACAGCAAATTTTTTGTCAGAATTGGGGGAGATAGACGGTGATGAGAGAGAGAGAGGGAGACTAGAGGGGGTTCTTCGTTCTTCAGAGTAGCTACACGCAACGCGTAATCTGGACCGTTGAATGTTTGCTTGACGCGGATTAATGACGTGGAACTTCATCCAACGGCTAATATGAACCGTTAACCTTGCGGCGCCTCTGTATTACGGGCTCACGTGTTTCGCGCGTGATAGAGCCTAGGGTTTTCATCGGAATCATCTCTTGCCTTGAGGTACCAACAAAGGGGTAGTGTTGTCAATTTACATCCTTAACCTGATAAGTGATAAAGCAATATTCAGTAACATCACTTTTGGGCCGTTTATAGTAAGAGCCCATATTTGCCTTGCAAAAATTAACATTCCTTTTTACACAAAGTATAAACTTTTGAATTTTACAAAGTCCTAGAACAAATTTTCATATTTGTTTATCGGGAACATTTTCAAAAACTATTATAACTTTAATTATTTATTTGAAAAATCGTTATTTCATTTTATTTTTTCAAAAAAAAAATTAATTATTCTATTAAAAATTTATAGTAAACATATATATTTAAAACTTAAACATCATTTTCTAAGAAAAATATTGTTTTCCATAAAGTAAATTTTTTTAAACGATTCGGCTATGGACTAATATCAAAACCGAACTAGAAATTTCACTTTTTTACTTTAGAAATTTCATATCGTTGATTTTTTCAGTTTTAATTTATTATTATTATTATTATTATTATTATTATTATTATTATTATTATTATTATCCAACTTTAGTTATAATTTTTTAGTTTCAACCATGTTTAATTGGATTTAAACAATCTCCCTTTTATTCTTTGTTTGGTAGTTAAATTAATAGTTTTGATTTTCTAAACACAAATCATACATGAATGTTCGATATCTAATATATATTAGATATATTATTACATGATTATGTATATTGCCTAATGTAACAGTCCGGTTCTGATAAACCAATTAATAAATTCAAAAGTTGTTGATGAATCCACACATCAAGTTTTTAGTGTCGTTGGCGGGAAACAACTTAATTTCTTTAAATTATTTAATCATTCGTTATTCGATTTTTTTGTGGGTTTTCTCGTGAAAAGTTAATTTTTTGTTTTGTCGGCAAACACATTGTGTTCGACTCTGTTACGCGACACGTTTTTTGGGCGAAAACAAGTTGTTTTATTTATTTATTTATTTTTGTTATGGTTTATGTTTGTTTTGCATTTAGTTTATGTCCTCATGATTCACTTCTAAAGTAATACCTCTTTTCAACAAGCTCGAGCAAGAATTTCACAAAGCAACAAAGACAACAAAAAAGAAGATAGCAACGAAGAAGAAAGTGAAGACGGTAGGATGACGGATACTGCTAATCCATTGTTATAATAATACACAAGTCGTACGAGGGATGGGATTGGACGAGGACTAGTTCGCCCAACACTATCAGTGACTACAAATTTCGGGCTCAAGGGTCAATTCCTCCGATTATTGAAAGAAACATATTTTTTCCGGTAAAGACCATGAAAACGCGCACAAGCATGTGGACGAAGTGATCGAAACTACCAACTACTTCGGAGTTACAAAATATGTGGTAATGATACAATTGTTTCTGATCACACTTAAAGACACTGGAAAACAAAGGGTTAAATCTTTCCGTCCACATCAATTACCATACGGTATGATTTAAAAACTAAATTTATTCAACAATTTAGTCCACCATTAAAAATAGCGAAGATGAAGATGAAGATCCAGACCATGCAACTACCAGATGACAAAACACTTTACAAAACTTGTGATCGATACAAAGAGATGCTCAAAAATTGTCCACACATGAATTAAATGCTCAGCAAGTAATGCAAACTTTTTATAATGGGATCAATGTGTGTACTCAATAATTAGTTGACTCATAATAGGGTACATGACCAATCGTACAAGTACCCTCCTTGGAGAATAGTTCCCGCTCGGTCCGGGATAGCCGAACCACAAAGGGTCATTCCGAATGACCGAACTAGAATCCTGGTTCGGTACATTGTAGGTATATTGTATAATGATCGAATTGAAGGTGAAGAAGGGAATCTACACAATAGAAGAAGTGATTAACAAAACCAATGTATTCACAATCAATGTCAACATGATACATGATATAATATGGATACAATTATGAAATAAAGATCATTGTCTATATCTTGTAGTTGAGTATCGTATTACAATTCTCTTTGTACACAAATTTTGTTTCAAGTAGACAAAAAAAAAGCAATCAAGGATATTATTTCGGAATGCATTCGCTCTCATGGAGTAGGCAAAAATCAACTAAATTTGATTCTAAACCACTCAAATTTTGATTCAAGTAGACAAAAAAAGCACTCACGAATATTATTTCGGAAGGCGTTCGCTCTTACGGAGTACGCAAAAATCAACTAAATTTGATTATAAAACACTCAAGAATATGGATTTCTTTTTTCTCGAAGTACCAAGATTATCAATGTGGATTTGATTAGAAACTAACACCGAACTTATTAAACATACGATTAATAGAAAATACTAAAATACACCAATTCAAGTCACTATATGTAACATCCGGAATTTCGAGAATGGTAGTTCGTGTTTCAGTCTTGAGGATTTAGGAAGGACTCGCCGAGTCGAAGGTCAGACTCGCCGAGTCACGTCGAGATAATCGCGTGGATTTAATGAGCGGACTCGACGAGTCCAAGTATGGACTCGCCGAGTAGGTGCTGGGCAGAGGAAAACACTAAGTTCTGGGGTTGGAGCCTATTTAGGGGAACTTATGACCTTGAGTGCGCCTCATATCATCTGTGAGGAACCCTAAACCGCCATTGGAGCTAAGGGGGAGTTCTTGTGATGAAATCAAGCATTTTGGTGGAGGTTATGGAAGGAAAAAGAGCATGGTTCAAGCAAGGGACGAGATGGGGGCTGTGGATCTAGCTTTTCTTCTCATGGGACTACTGTAGGAGGTATAATCTTGTATCCTTATCGCCTATTCTTGGTTAGACCTCAAGATCTTGGGAGTTTTAGGGTTTAACTCCCCTTTCTTTGTGAGTATGAGCTAGTGAGACATAATCTGAGGTGGGAAACCTCAGATCTGAGCCTTGTAAGGTCCCTGGAGACTAGATGCCTCAGCTTTAGTGGTCCAAATGAGGGTTGATGAGCAAACACCTTCATAAAGAGCATGTATTGGTGTTTTGAAGCAATAGCATTGTGCATGAATGTAAAGATCGAAACTTTACGTAAGTTTTAAGCCTTGAGATGATAGATCTATAGTTTAGAGTGATAGATCTGGTTGAAATCGTCTGAATGAGGATAAGTTGATATAGACTCGCCGAGTCCATGAGCCGACTCGCCGAGTCGGTTAGGGTTTTCTGATTGAGATGAATCGCGTACTAACTCGGCGAGTTGTGGAGTCAACTCGACGAGTTGATCTGGATCTTCAAGTGACTTCGGGAAGGTGAGTGAACTCAGCGAGTCATAAAGGTGTACTCGCCGAGTCGGGCCAAGTGGGACTGTTGTCTTGAGTTGACTTCTGTTGACTGAGGGGTCTTGGTTAACATAAGTAATAGAGACCATGGAGGGGTAAAATGGTCTTTTACCCACTTCCCCAATTAGAGAGGGAAAGAGTAATCATCGGTTTAATTAGAGTTGAGATTTCGAGTGTTAATTAGAGATATTTGCCTTATGTGTTAGGCAGTGGCGAGTTCGAGATTCGAGTGTGAGGATAGCTGCTTTCTGCTTGCCAGGTGAGTCTTCTCACAGAGTTATATGACAGAGTATCTTGTATGCTATTTATGTGATTGTGATGCACTGCATTATTTCTATGTGGTTTATGCTGTGTATGTTCCAGAGTTTACAGAGTTAGAACCGGAAGGTTCACAGAGTTAGGACCAGAGGGTCCACAGAGTTAGGACCAGTGGGTCCACAGAGTTATAGCCTCGAGTGGCTAATATGTGGTATTTTGGGGAAACTCACTAAGCTTCGTGCTTACCGTGTTATGTGTTATGTGTTTCAGGTTGTTCTCAGGAATCGCGGGAAGGCACCGGCTTGATTGTACACACCAGAGAAAGAGTTATGTTTTAAGGATCCTGGATTTTTAATGGAGTTGTGTTTTGTAATCTGAATAAACAAGATTTCCATACAATGTGTTATGAAAAGTATGCGATTTTAAAATGAAAAATCTGTTTGAAAAATTACGGTGTTACAAGTTGGTATCAGAGCCTTGGTTTGAGGGATTCGGATGCACCTTCGGGTAAATATGGACTCAAACTGAGGATTTGAGAAAAAATTTCAAAGAAATGCTTTTCTAAAGCAAACAAGAGTTTTCTAAGGGAAAACGAGAAGGAGCAGTGTGTACAATCAGCCAGAGCCCGAACGGTGATTTCCCAAAATACCCTTACGTTTGTATTATGAGATATTTATGAGATATGCTATGAGATATTATGCATGCTAGAGATAGGCTAGGTATTTCATATGTTAGGACTAGAGTGGCCTGATTTGTGATGCCTTAGCCTAGGAGTTACTGTTATCTGTTATGCACTTCGAGTATGTGCTGAGTAGGAGAATCCAGCAGGAATCCTTGTAGAGAAGGATTTGAGTACAGGAGTAGTCTAGGAGAGATGCCTAGATGAGCATTATGGAGCCTAATCAAGAGAGTAGCTAGATACCCGCGAGGGGTAGAGTTGCAGAGTTCGGTGATATCTTTAAGTATGAGCAGAGCAAGTGGAGTTAACACCTAGAGTGAGTTCTACGTATTCATTCGATGCCCGAATGCTGCTTGCTTTGTGCTTTGTGGGACTCTCGATGATGGGAGTCAGCTACTAAGTGAATATGACGATATTCAAGAGGTAGATGGCTGGCATCATTAGGAATTCTTCAGCAGCTGATGGCGGAGAAGTGTGAGGACCTAGGGAGAACCTATGGGTGATCATGGTTAGATGAGTGCGCTGACAGAGTAGAGCATTTCGCTGGGGAGAGAGCACGCATAATAAGATTGACGGCTGAGAAGGTTGA